ATCCTTATCTAGGACTTATGTCAGGTGGCTGAGTGGTTGCCTGTGCACACCTTCAGACTAGGGCCAATGCTGGATGTGACAAGGCAGTCCTGCAGCCTTCTCATTCCTGACTTCTACCCATGTCCGAGTGGAAGCTGCTGTAGTCATCTATTGTGGAATGGACATGAGTAAGCACTCAAAGAAGAAAAGATAGGTACCTGGTCCATAACCGGTGTTCTTCAAGATGTTTTGCTCATGTCCACTGCACACTCCGCTCTCCTTCCCCACAGTCAGAATTTCTGACAAGGAGGAACTGAATGTGGGGGGAGCTGTCAACACCTCTTATAATGTGCCAGGGAAGTGCCACTCCATGGATCACTAGAGGTGCTCCCTTACAGGTACTGCTAGGGGAAAAACTGCTGGCACCAGTGCACATGTTAAGCACACAGCTATTGTGGAATGGCCATTAGCAATGCATCTTGAAGTACACCAGTCATGGACAGGTAACTATCTTTTCACAAGTCCAAAGCTTTGTCAGGCTGATGGATAGATACAAAATCTCAAAAAATAATATAATCTCTGACTTCTAGGGTGTTTGTAATTAAATCAGCTTTATTGACTGCATCTAGTAAAACAGATAATATTCCCGTTTCTTAAGCTATCATTTATCACCAAGCAATTGAGGTCATGTTAAATAGGAACACTCAAACCAAACACCGTGAATCTATTTCTGATCTCACAGAAAACTGAAGTTATGCCATTGTGACTTTCTGGTAATTTGAAAATGCAGGCTGCCTGTCTATTGTATTATTTTACAGTCATCATTCCATGAAGAGAGAGAGAGAGACTGTGTATCTGTACTAAGTATTGTCTATGCAATGAAAAGTTAATATACAATATATAATTAATATAGCTCCTTTTCTGTTTAACAATTCATACACTTACAAGTATATTCTGTGCTCAGTCATCAAAAGGTCAGTGCAGCTCCCGAATATTCATTAGGTTCCTGATTCAAAGTCAATTAGTTCCTAAACCAGCAAAGACATATAAGTGTATTTTAATGTTATACACTATTAATAGTCCCATTGAAGAAAATGGGATTTACTCAATCCTTAAATAGGACTTTTTGGGACTGAGGTTAGGAATCATTCTTGTTTTATTGCCCCCACTGAAAGCTAACAGGATCACAATAGTTTTTCACATAGAAAAGAATGTGAAAAGAGTTGGATATATTTTAGGAAGAAATACAAGACTAGATTCCATGTTTTTAGAATCTCAGCATTTCCTGTGTTCTAGAACACAGACTTGTAAAACTCCTTGAATAATTCATAAATTGTAGCGACTTCAGTGTTTTTAAAAGGGCTACATTTTAATGGGCCCTTAAGTTCATTTAAAAAACATTTGGTAATACCCCAGTCTACTTGTATTCCAGTCTCTATAATTAAAAGTGAATATAATTTTTCCTCTCTATATAAACATAAACAAACCACCTGTGAAAATACAAAACAACCTATGAAAATACAAAGCTTAAGTTTCTGTATGCAAGTACTGCCACAAAGTATAAGCTGCATTTTAATACGTTAGTAATATATATCCAAGTAAACAGTCTGTTTTCATTACAAATAATGATTTTGTCTTTAATATTGCAGGACTACACTTTGACAATGTACTTTCAGCAAGCCTGGAGGGATAAGAGGCTGTCATATAATGTAATACCTTTAAATCTTACACTGGACAATAGAGTAGCTGATCAACTTTGGGTCCCTGATACCTACTTCTTGAATGACAAGAAATCGTTTGTACATGGGGTCACTGTGAAGAACAGAATGATTCGTTTGCATCCAGATGGAACAGTCCTCTATGGTCTCAGGTCAGTGCCATCCATTTTTAATTATATTTTTGAATCAGTTTCTAATTGAAAAGTATCCAGGTTCATAATTCAAAATCATAGAATCATAGAGCTGAAAGAGACCTCAGGAGGTCATGAAGTCCAGCCCCCTGCCCAAAGCAGAGCCAATCCCATCTAAATCAACCCAGCCAGGGCTTTGTCAAGTCAAGACTTAAAAACTTCTAGGGATAGAGATTCCACTACCTCCCTAAATAACCCATTCCATACTTCACCACCTGCCTAGTGAAATAGTTTTTTCCTAATATACCACCTGGACCTCTCCCACCATATCATTGCTCCTTGTTCTGCCATCCGAAACTACTGAGAACAGCCTTTCTCCATTATCTTTGGAACCTCCCTTCAGGAAGTTGAAGGCTGCTATCAAATCCCCCCTCACTCTTCTCTTCTGCAGACTAAACTAATCCAAATCCCTCAGCCTCTCCTCATAGGTCATGTGCTCCAGCCCCTTAATTATTGTTGTTGCCCTCTGCTAGATCCTCTCCAATGCGTCCACATCCTTTCCATAGTGGGGGCCCCAGAACTGGATGCAATACTCCAGATGTGGCCCCACCAGAGTGGAATAAAGGGAAATAATCTCTTCTCTCATGGCAGTGCTCTTCCTAATGCAACATAATATGCCATTAGCCTTCTTGGCTACAAGGGCACACTGTTGACTCATATCCAGCTTCTCATCCACAGGTCCTTTTCTGTTGAACTGCTATTTAGCCATTCAGTCCCCAGCCTATAATAATGCTTGGGATTCTTCCATCCCAAGTGCAGGATTCTACATTTGTCCTTGTTGAACCTCATCAGATTTCTTTTAGGCACAATCCTCTAATCTGTCTAGGTTACTCTGGACCTTACTCCTGCCCTCCAATGTATCTCCCTCTTCCCTTAGCTTAGTGTCATCTTCAAACTTGCTGAGGTTGTAATCTATACCCTATTCCAAATCATTAATAAAGATGTTGAACAAAACCAGCCCTAGAATAGATCCTTGGTGCACTCCGCTAGAAACCGACCGCCAACCTGAAATCGAGCCGTTAATCACTATCCGTTGGCCTGACAGTCTAGCCAGCTTTCTATCCACCTTACAGTGCACTTATCCAATCCACATTCCTTTAACTCGCTGGCAAGAATATTGAGGGAGACCATATCACAAGCTTTGCTAAAGTCAAGGTATATCACATCTACTGACTTTCCCGTATTCACAGATCCAGTTACCTCATCATAGAAGCTAATCAGATTGGTCAGGCATGCCCTTAGTGAATCCATGTTGACTATTCCTGATCACTTTCCCCTCTTTCAAGTGCTTCAGAATAGATTCGTTGAGGATCCCCCTCCGTGATTTTTCTGGGGACTGAGGTAAGGCTGACTGTTCTGTAGTTCCCTGGATTGTCCTTCTTACCTTTTTTTAAAAAGATGGGTACTACATTTGCCTTTTTCTAATCATCCAGGATCTCTCCCGATCTCCATGGCTGTGTCTACATTGGCATGAATTTCCGGAAATGCTTAAAATGGAATACTATTCCGTTTTCAGTTTTTCCGGAAAAGGAGCGTCTACATCGGCAGGCTGCTTTTCCGGAAAAGCCCTTTTCCGGAAAAGCCTCTGTTGTCAATGTAGACGCTCTTTTCTGGAAAAGACTATTGGGCTGTCTGCACTGGCCCTTTTCCGGAACAGTGTTCCGGAATAAGGACTTATGCCCGAGCGGGAGCAGAATAGTTTTTCCGGAATAGTGGCTGATTTTGTACAGTAGAGCATCATTGCTTTTCTGGAAATTCAAGGGCCAGTGTAGACAGCTTGCAGCTTATTCCGGAAAAGCGGGTGATTTTCTGGAATAAGTGGCCCAGTGTAGACACAGCCCATGAGTTTTCAAAGAGAATGTCCAAAGAATGACATTTACCAACTCTCTCAGAACCCTCAGATGCATTAAATCTGGACACATGGATTTCTAAATAGTTCTTAATGATCTGGACACAGTGGAAAAATGGTCTGAGGTAAATAGAATGAAGTTTAATAAGGAAAAATGCAAAGTACTCCACTATAAAAGGAACAATCAGGTTCACACATAGGGTGTGTCTAGACTACATGCCTCCTTCGACGGAGGCATGTAGATTAGCCAGATCGGAAAAGGGAAATGAAGCCGCGATTAAAATAATCGCGGCTTCATTTAAATTTAAATGGCTG